CTGCTGAACAAAGGCTCTGAGCAGGAGCATTCAATAAAGCCCAGCCCTGTCTCAGGCAGTGGAGCAGAGCTTATTTCCTGCTAAGTTGATGAGAGTCTATTACACCCAGGCAGTTTAGAGAAAGCTCTTTTAAAAGAGCCAGAGGAAATCCCTCTCTCTTTCTCTGTGCAACTGAAGATAAGCAAGTTAGTAGCCCAGTCTGGTCTTTCCTGGCAGGCTGAGACATAAGCCTGGCAAAGAAAGAGGATGGCAGAGCTCTGCTGGTTGACACAAAGGTCTCTCTCTGCCCTGGTCATCCCAGAAGGTCTCATACCCAGCACAAGCCCATCCCAAAAAGCTGACCTGCTCTCCTGGCCACAGGAGGCACCCTGAACAGAAAGCTATGGGCAAAAGCTTGGGAGAGACATCATGAGCTCCAATGCTTGGATTTGACTGGGTCCCAGGAAGGTCATCTCATCATTCACCCAACAGCCTCCCTGTTTATTACCATCTACAAAATAAGCATCTGCTGTTTGATTACTGGACACGCCAGTGAAGGTCTGCATCCTGGAAACCTCTGTGTGAATACTGAAACATATTACCTTCATACAATTGAAATCAATGTGTTTGCAAGGCTGAGTCTTGGCTAACAGTGGCCAGCACTGAGGCAATGAGAGATTGCAGCTGCATCACACGTAGTGCTGCTGTGAGCAGTGCCATCCCTGCAGCCAGCAGAGCTTCCTGGGACCCACATCTCAGGGGATCCAATTCCAGGGATTTTTAAATAGATTTGGTTTTCAGAGACCACTGACCAACTGCTCTCAGAACACCTGGCAGAAGTTTCCTGCATACTGGTGTCTCTGAAGAAGGACCTGGGGGAATGTGGTGGAAAATACTCTAAGTCCTTATTGTGTATTCCACAGCACATGGCTCTGTGTCTGGCTGCCAGGCTCACCACCGTGAAGGTGACTGTGGCAGAGGGGAGCACAGAACTCACCTGCACTGCAAGGACAAAAATCAGAGTTTTTCTCTCTGTGCAGAGATTGCACCCAAACGTGGCTGAGCTCAAAGGGCTGGCAGGCTGCACAGCTCCTGCTGCTGTGTCCAGCACGCTGGCGTTTGCTCACCATCAGCACTGGGCTTATAGACCTGAAATCACTTGTCAGCAAAGCTCTGTTTAGACAGCGCTGAGGCAACAACATAAAGCCCACCTGAAAACTGAATAGCAAAGCCCTGCTTGCTCGTGAAGAAGTCAGTGTTGAACTGAAGGATGACAGAGTTGAAGGTACTGTGGACGTCGCCGGGCAAGCTGGACCCGCTCATCTCCTTGAGGAGGATTCCATTCTCCACAGGACCATCCCAGATCCTCAGCACATCGTGGAACTCCTCAGTGTGGAAAACCATAAAATGGAGCCTGTGTGGCAAAACAAACTGGAGGTCAGGCCACAGGCTGAGCTCTGCCTTCTTCCTGAAAGGATCAGAATTCTTACCTTAGGTACCAACTTTGTCTATAAAACCCAAGATCTCACAGTCATGTACCTCCCTAACAAAACACATCCATAGACAAAAAATAAACAGCTGAGCCACAGATACTAATGTTTTCTGAAAAGCTGAGCCCTTTCTGGTGTCCACTCCTCAGCAAAAAAATTCCTGAGGGACAAGGTAAAGGTCCAAAAGCCCATTGTGGGGAGTGAAATGTCCTCAGCCAGAATATCCCAGCTGGTTTTGCACTGAAGCTGCTCAGACACTGCAACGAGTCACTGTCACACAGACAAAAGGCTCCATCAAGGACACGCAGGAAACCTGCAGCAGAGAGGTCCAGGGGCTGTGAAGGAGAGGCCTGGGGTTTGTCTGTAGTTTCCCTGAGCTCTGTGGCAGATAAGAAGGAAGTATTGAGAAATTTATTCCAAAAAGAGCAAAAAATGTGCTGGGCTCCTTCAGACAGCTGACATGTGTTCATCCAACACACACACTGTCCCTGTGCTGCACAGAGCAACAACCTTGGCTGTCCTCTTGCTTTTTTTGGTGTCCTGCAAGAAACACCTTATTGTCAAGAGCCAGCATCTACTGATAAAACTCATTGATTTTTTGTTACCTGCACTCAGATCAAAGAATTTGCTCCTGGTGCTAAGCTAATCTTGTGTATTGGGGGAAAAAAAAACAGGAAAGGAAACAACCAGCATGACTCTTCATTAAAACAGCATCATGCTGGAAAAGAAGCCCTTAGGTTAGTTAACCCAGGGTGTTAACTGCCCCAGGGGTTAAGAAAAAGGGGTAGAAGAGGGTGTGCAGGAGGGTGGCAAACAGGTGGGTGCAAATTCTGAATGCATCAAATGCTCCTTAGTCCTGAACTGCCCTCAGCAGTGCTCCTCAGAGCTCCTGCCTTCTGCCTTCCAACTAAACCACGGTACCTGTTGGACACTTCCACAGAAAATTCCCCAGGGGAAGCCCAAGATGCTGACAGGAGTCACTGTGGTGAGGAAATTCTCTCCAGAGCCTGTACCAGCCATGGATCTAAGGGGATGGGAGAAGGGCAGGAGCTCTCTCCATGCCCAGCAGAGGTCTGGTGGCACTCTGGGACAGGACAATCTTGGTCCCAACATCAACCCCTGGATGTTCCCACCCTGGGCTGAGGAGGGTTTATCACACTGCACTTCTCCCCACCAAACCAACTGCTCTGTGGAAGGAAGAGAAGCAGAGGAATCCAGGCTTTGCAAAGAGCTTTGGGATCTCCCAGGATCAGAAGAACCATCTCAGCATGAGATACAGCTGTAGTTATTGTTACACCCAAGGGATTTCTCAGCTAAAGGCTCCCACACATGAGGGTTCAGGTCCTTCCACTCCTGCACTGCTGAGGAGGCATTTCCTTGCCTCTGGGTTTCACTGCCCCACTATCACCAGGGAAAGACCATCTGACACAACGAAGTCAGGCTGGCTCAGGGGAACTCGGGGCATGCCAGCTTGAAATGGGGACAGAAACCTATAAACTGTACTGAGAAAAATCTGCACAAAATAAACCAGTCAGGTCCTGCACTTAAAACCCTGACAGCCCACAGAGCAAAAGAGGGAAGCATTCACTTGGCTGCCTTCCATTTATCCGGGGCAAGCATAAATAAATCAGGTAGAATCATAAAAGGGGAAAAAAAAACCCCAACAAAACCCCAAACCACTGCAATGTACTCAGCAACAAGATGATGCCCACAGAATCTGACAGACACCAAAAGAGCTGAATCATAAATCTACCTAGCAGAGACCTTGAGCAAAGAGAAAAAAAGCTAGACTTGAAGCAAATGAGGATGATCCTAGCAGGGCTGCTCTCCACAGATGGGCTGGCCCAGTTTTATGTTTGCTCTTAGGCTAACTGGTTCCAGTGAGCCTAAACTGCCAGAGAAAACTCAGTGATGAGACCTTGGAAATGGGGAGATAGATAGTGCCAGAGACTGACCTGAGGCAGGGGGACACCCTGGAACTGCCACCACCCTGGACCAGCTCACTCCCCTGATTTTTAAGCATCCATTTCCAGCCAGGGTGCCCAAGGAGGAGAAGCTCTGGCAGGACAAGCAGCCAACACCGTGGCAAGGCACAGGTTGTTTGATGCCAGCTGGTTCAGGGCTCTACTGGGATAGCTGATTTTATTAAGAAAACTGGTGTGCTCTGGAGCAAATCCATCTATTCAACAGGCACATCTGTAACCAAACAGCATGATTTTTCTATCAGCCTGATTCTATTCCCAGCAGGGCTTCATTTGAGACAAGACAGAGACACTGCTTTAGCAGACAACAGAGAGGAAGGGAGTTCACTCTGACAATCCCAATTACATGCATGAAAATGCAGCAAAGAGCACATTAGGAATTGTGGCTATATATATATACATACATACATATATAGATGATGTGGTGGAGGGGATTTCTCCCAGCTCAGCAAGGAGCAGAGAGGAGAGAGCAGCTCTGCACTACACTGGCATAATTGCTGGTGAGCCATTTGGCCCCAGCTCTTCAGGGAGCACCTCACAACCTGACTGACCAACTCAAGGCTCCTTCTGTGACAATTCCCAGCCAAGCTCTGACCATCTTAACGTGGCTCCCATCTGGACACACTGGGGATGCCCACACAGCCTGCACCAAAGCTGCAGGTCCCTCACCCTGACCTCCTGCAGCCTGGAGAAGGTTCCCACACTTAAAAACTGTTAAATGTTGTGTCCCTAGAAACTTCCAAGGAAGCAAACTGGAACATCCCAATATCCTCACTCATATTTCTAGATGAGATTGTGAAAAATGGAACCTGTCAATGCAGCATCATCCATTAAACTAGGATTAGAAATATCATTAAATGCTTTTCTAGGAGATCACTGCTACAGAACAAACCACCACTGCCACTTGTGTCTGCATTCACCACTCTCAGTGGCACAAGCAGCACTTGAAGGCTGGTTCACACCTCACTTCTTCTTTGCCTCCCTAGAGTCTTACAGATAAGCCAAGTCATCTGAGTTGTAATTTTATGTGCATGTGCTTGCACATGCACAAAATTAAACCTCTCTCAAAGTGCAACTCTTCAACATCCATGGCAATGATGTACAGACTGATTTTCCCACCTTCTTCTCCTTCCCCTCGTTCTGTGCAGACACAGCTTTATCCAAAGAGCTCTGGTGATTAATTTTAATAGAGGTTATAAATGAGAGCTTTATACAATTGTAGCATGCGTGAAGAGGATTATTTTTCCAATGGATTACCATAAAAATGAAGTTGCTGAAAATGTGCTCCCTCAACTACCCAGAGATCACCTGTCCTGTCTGAGCTGCCAAATAAAGGAAGAGGAGAAGGAAGCCTTCATCTCTGGTGACAGGAAGGGTCACAAGGTGCATTACTGTACTCCTGCCTGGCATCACTTCATTTCAGTCTTGGCCCCTGCCAAGCCTCTGGCTGATCCTGCAAACACAAGCTACAGCTCTGCTCGTTTGAGTACTCTTAGAAAGCTGAGAGGGATGATGGGTGTGAGTGAAGATCACTTGCTGAAGCAGTGTCTGGATGAGGAAGTCTCTTACACTTCTGGGGAGGGAGAGAGAGAGAGAGGGAGAAAAAAAGGTGTCTCATGTCTACTTCATCCTACAAAAGTCTTCAGATTCTTCGGAATCATTTACAGCAGAATGAAAAGAAGAGGAGGCTTCAACTAGATATTGCCTGTACAGGAATTATGCTGCTCTGGCTCTTTCTCCTGTGTTCACACCAGAAACCATCCATTATTGAACCCTTCTGAAGAGCAGAGCTATAGAGGAAACTTCTGCATTAAGTAAAAATGAAAATACTGGAGCAGACCTGTCCAGTGTGAATCCATCGACTGAGAGCATCACAGAGCTGCACATGATTGACAGTGCCCACTGAGGAGATGATGAGTGCTGATGCAGTGAGGAGCTATGGTGAAGATAAAAGGGCACCAACAATGAAGGAGTGGAGCACTGGAACAGCGACAGGTCTTGGGGTCAGCACAGAAATGGGGCTGCCACAGCAGCTAGCAAGCACTAGAAATGATGATGGGAGATTGTGGGAGAAGAGGATTATTGTTGTACAGACCCTAGAATCTACATTCCTCCCCTAAAGTCACATCATTTAGCAAAAATTTTACTTGCCAATATGCTTCAGCTTTCTGTTGAAGATGGCTTTAGCTGGACTGAAATACATGCCCATAAAAGCTCTCGGATGTTATTTTAATACCACAGGCAGCAAGAGCAAACAATCAGGTGCCACCAGCCATGGCACAGTAACTGGTACTGGCACGGGTTGTGCAGGGCTAAAAAGCAGGAGAGAAAGGAGAAGTGATGCTGATTCTGTCCAACCTGCAAGGAGATAAACCAGCACTTGTTCCCTCCTTTGGGACTCTCAGAGAGACAGGACAGCCTCTCTACTTGCCTTATATAATTTTTGATCTGCCTCTGGAAAGCTGAGTTGTACCCAGAAAGAAAAACAAGCTGCAATAACCTGTCCCAACTCACCCTATCGTGCAACCAGCTTCTGCCTCTATAGTCCAGATACAGTTCAGATTATGGTCGTAGGGTGTTGGGTAGCCAGGAGACAGGATCCGCCCCGAGGACTCCCCGTGGATGGTGCCCCCACACTCCGCTGAAACAAACAGATGGGTTAGTGAGGAGACTCCTGACATATTCCAGCTCTTCCTTGGCAACAAGGCAAGTCTCATCCTACAAATACAACAGGGAGGGTTTCTTGCCATTTACAGAGATTCTTGAAGACTACAAAACAAAGATGAAGGGAGTAATTTAATTCAGCTCGAAGAACTCTGCACTTCTGTGAGATGCTGCCACAGCTTCCCTCCAACTTTTTGACTTTGCAGTGGATAAAGGCAGAGCCTGCCAGCATCCTGCTTTCCCCAATTCACACGTGGGGTCAAAGAGCTCAATACTTCTAATTGGATCTGCAAGAAGTCTTAATGATTCACTGGTGTGATAAAATGGAGAAGTCTCTGCTAAACCAGCTTCAAAACAGTGTGGGGATTTCTAAAACATTTTCATAACATCCATTAAAATTGTGTTTCCATGTGCTCACCACACAGACACGAGCATTCATATGCAATATATGTGTAGCAAATAGGGGAAAGGTTAAGAAGATGCATAAATGACAGAAAATTGTCTTTTTGCCTCAGTACTCAAGACTGAAATCCAGCAGAGTTACAGCACAACAAAATATCCTAACTCAGGGGAGAACAGAGAGTGCCACTGTCTGAGCACATCACTTACAGCCAGGAAAACAACCTTCTGGTTGTTGAGATGTCTCAGAAGGTTCAAATCTCCATGCCCTGGAAACACTAGTTAATTATGAGGTTGTCTAGTAACAGACCAACAGCACTTCATTTAGACACCCAAAGCTTAATATCAGAATTCCAAAGCAAGAAGACATCCTTCTGGAGAGCTGCAGGTAACAGGGAACACAGGGCTTAGCCAAGGGAATTAAAATGTCTGAGGATCTGGAACCAGATGTCATGTAGCTCTCACATGAACAGGACTCTGAACTTCAGTCAGCTGCCCGGACACGCGTCGGTGTCAGGCACTATCAGAAAGTGCCACTCTGCCTTACACCTCCAGCTGAAAGGACAAGGACTGGAAAAGCAGAGGTCTCCTCGCAGCAAAGCAAGAAACCTTGTCAACCCTGTGCTCAGAGCAGTGTGTCACACTAAGACTGCTTGTAGAAGTTCTGCAGAGATCAGTGCTCGAAGTCTGAAGATCTCTTACATAGGAACCATAGCAGGGGCTTTATTACTGTGGATGGCTGCAATCAGTGTCACAGTTAACATCAGGGGTACCAGCAAATGAGGAAGAGTGGGTGCTCAGCAGGATGCCCACAGGCAAAGTACTTGTTAGAGGAGGTTTTAAAGGGAGGAGTTGTCTCACCTACACAGGTTGGCAGGGGTTGATCCCAAGCTCTGCGCTCCCCCGTCAGGCAGACCAGCACCCTGCTGCCTCGCAGGGTGTAGCCAGGGTCACAGCTGAAGGACACAGAGCTGCCAGCAAAGTGTCCCTCATCGTGGACCTTGTAGCCAAACTGTGGGATGCCAGGGTCCTCACATTTAATCAGTTCAAAACCTGGAGCGGGGAAACCAGAATCTGTTTTCATCAGATATTTAACAGCCAGGGGATATTAACACAAGCTCATACCAGTATTTTCTTCTTAAAATCATTTGCTGGAGAGTAAAAACACCATATTGAAAAAATACTATTTGAAAAAAAAATAATATTTGAACAAGATCCCAGAAATCTGGTATCTCAGCTCTGATCCAAAGCTTCTGTACCACCACTGCCTCATTCACAAGAGAACAGGTTTGCTGGCATCACCACCTCCCCCACTCCTGTTCCACTACCAGATCTTTATGGAGAGGACTGTTTCCTCTGGTCATACAACTGCAACACAAAACTACACCCTTTACAGCTCCAATTCCCACCTCAGAAGCATATCAGCCTAAGACTTACTGGAAAACTGCAGCTCAAAGCCTTTGCTCGTGTTCTCGCTGTTGGTGATGAACTCGAGCCACATGCTGCTGGAGGTGCTGTTGATGCTGGTGCTGAGCATTTCAGAGCGGCTGAAGGAGCCCAGGAGGCGAGCAGAGCTATTGGTGCCATCGTACACCTGGGAGGAACAGGGAACGGGTATGAGAAAACCTAATTTGCAGCTTCAAGGACCAAATCACCCACGAGTGCAGAGGGAGAGTTCCTTTGAAGCGGGTGAAACTACCCCAACTAAGCATCCGACCCGTCCAGGCTGCTCATGGGAGCATGATTCACACCCTGGAGGAGCCACATCCTGCTCCTCACTGCACCCAGGGCTACTTTCTGAACCAAGCTCTCTTGCCAAAGGTGCTGCACAGCTACTGGGAAAAAACATCCTCTCCCTACAGTGACTCATTGATGTGCCTTGACCCTCCTATTATTTAAGAAAAACACAAATGGGTTTTGTGTTTCTTCCTTTTCAAGAGCACGGCTCTCTGTGAGGATAAAGAGCAACTTCTCACTAGTGGAGATGGATAGTAACATTCCTCGGGAGCAGATGAGAAGTTGATGACAAACCTGTTGAGAGAGCATCATTTCTTCCACAACAAGTATGTTCTTTGCATTTGCTGGAAATCTCTCTCTCTTTCCAGCCATTTGTGAGCTGAAAATCTGTGGATTACACCTCTCTTGCAGTGCAGAAGTGTGGCACTTACATAAGGACAGGGGCGTTCTCAGGGAAGATGGCTTAGCACAGCAGCACACATCTTGTAATATTAATGCCTCCTACAAAACCATTTCTTTGTGGTTAATAGAAACTCAGCCTGGATTTGTCTCCTCCTATATAAAGTCCTGAAGCTTGTAAATGGAGATTAATTGGAGTATGGGAATGCTGAAGAGCTTGAGCCTGGAGTTTGCATTTAAATAAACACCCTTTCAGGGACAAAGCAGCCTTGATTCTTACAAACACAAAAGTAATGTTAAGAACCTCACCCTTCCCCATGTGTCAGCCCTGTACAACTATGCAGGTGAGAGCTGAAGTGTAGCTACAAAGGAAGAACCCCTGGCACTCCAGCACATCTCAAAACCTCAAGGAAGACTTTACAGCAGAAGGTGCAGGGACAGGACAAAGACAGCTCCATTTTTATCAGATACAGCATTTGTTTACATGTCCATCTGTGGACTGGAGCCACGAACCACCAGCTAGGCTGGAGCACAAAGGACACTGGCTATTGCCTCAGTGCTGCTGCCAGAGCCTGTGACGAGCTGGTGAAGTTCAGAGGGGCCACTTCCCCAAAATGACACAACACGGTTTGAAGCACAGCAAACAAGTGTGCTGATCAGACTGTGATCCCTGGGCTAGAGGATATTGGTTTACAGATTTATCATGTCTTCTGTCTTGCTCTAACCTTAGAAGGGACACACACAGATCATGTTCTAGCCCAGCTGCCCTGCCTGGAGCTCAGTCTGGTCCATGGGAATTTTGCTGCTGTCTTCAAAACCTCCCCACCAATCATTTAATAACACAGCAGCAACTGGTACTGGTAGTATACTGGTAGTATGAGTCTCTCCCAGAGCTTACTACTGACTGCACTGATGTCCTTGGTCATTCGTCTAGTGGTCAGCCCAAACCCTTGACAACTATCAGCACTGTCAAGGCTTGGTGGCATTTTTCAGAGGTCAGACATAGTTAACTCCATGAAAATCTCAGAACACCACTTCCCTTTCAGGGCTTGCTCTCGTTAGCAGCACAGTAGTGCTTCACTGCTAGAGACAGAAGAATTACCTTGAGGACATCTCCTGCCTCCAGTTCAAAAGTCCTGGCCTTCAGCTGGATCCCCTTTCCTGGCTGCGTCTGGATGGAGTAGATGCACTCGTGGTTGTTGTTGTAGTTTATTGGATAGTTGGGGGACAGCAGAACTCCCTGGGTCCCAGTTACAGATGAACCACATTCAGCTGTACAGAGACACAAAAGCAGGAGTGAACAACCACACGTGTGGTGCAGCCACACAGCACATGCAGGGGACTCCTCCCGACGGCCGCAGCTGCTCGCTCCTGCATGAACTGCTACCACCACTTCCACCTCAGGTGCTCTGTAAGAGAGGTCAATACCCTCCTCCTTATACAGGCAGGGAAACTGAGGCACAGAAAGTAGACATACTGAAATCCTATCTTGGGTCCCAATCCAGAGAAACATTCCAAACTCCCTGGTAAGCCACCACCTGCTGGAAGCCGTGCCTGTGTTCATGTTTCTCCTGATTCATGAGCCAGGAAAATAAAAATACACATTAGATTGAAATATTTTAAGGTCTCTTCCATATTTCTACAAAGCTCATCCTGTACCTATATATAGTACACAGAAATCGTGGCATTCATGCCACAGCCAACACAGCACACCACTGATAGCTGGTACCAACGTGTGGCAAGTGCCAGAGCTCTGTGCAGCAAGACATGCAGCTGAACCTTCCAAATAATTACAAATGCTAAGGCTAGGTCTGAATTTCAGATTCTTCCCCAAAATAATTTCCTCAAAGCTAACAGGGTGTAATTTGACCTTATCTGTTGTTAATGCTGCCCTCAGCTCTCCAGGTCAGCATTTGACAGTATTTTAAAGGACCTCTTTAAAGGTCCTTTAAGGGACCTCTTTTTTTTTTTCCTTTTTTCTTCCCAGCTTTGCAGCTAACAATTCCATCCCTCCCTTTAGAAGAAGAGAGAAAACCAAGGATCCTTTTCCCTCAGTTTTGGAAACAAGCTCTGATTTACATATCTTTGTTTCCTCCAAAAATATCTCTCAAAGAACCACAGTGGGCTCAGGTTTTTCTGAGGCACAGACAAAACTGAACTTTCTTGTTCAAAAGACAAGGGCCTGGGGAGAGAGCAGGAGATGCTGCTGTGGGCATCCCTACACAGCCTGGGGAACTGGAAGGGCAGGGGGAGTTGATGCTGCTGCAATTGTTCCTCCCACCCCTGAGGCAAGTTTACACCCTTTGGCAGGTTATAAACAGCCAGGATTTTAGAAAGAAAGAAACCAGGAAGGAAAAAGAGAAGAGCCCTTTCTGTGTTGTTATTCACTGTGAGCTGCAGCCTGTTCCCGTTCCATTACATTCACCTAGTACGACTTCTCCTTCACCAGATCTGCTTCCTTTTCTACTCTGCATGTGTGAACAGCATTTGACTCTGAGCCAAATTTGAAATGTGAAGATTTGTGAGATTTAAAACTTGGCAGAATGATCCTTTTCAGAGAAAGACGAGGATGGCAGCTTGGGAGGTTCAACCTATCTTGGATGTCAAGAGATCACAGCTTAAAGCTTCCAGAAAATAGCAACAACCAGCCCTCACTTCTGTATTTTAATTGCAAGCTTTTAAGGACACAATCTCTCTCTCAGACATGCCACAGTGAGGGTAAGAGGACTCCTATGGGCATATCTTCACTACACAAAGTGGTGAGCAGACGTTCGAGTGCCTCTGAGTGCAAGGAGCAGGACTGCAGTGACAGCACAGAGCTCCTGCTGCTGTGATCCTGGGGGGAGGAAGCCCAAGTCCACAACACTCGTGTACAGCTTGAGGGCCTGCTTGCAAAACAGGACCTGAAGGATGATCTCCTCCAAGGGAACCTGCTGCCAGCCAGCGCTGCCTTCCCCGAGGGCCTGATTTCAGTGGGGCCCATGGCAGCCAGCTTGGTACAGAGATACACACAGCCCCCCAACACGTGTAAATCTGCCTTGCAACCATTACATGCTCAGGATTTCTTGCTTCTCCCCAATTAGCTCCCACATGAGCAAACCACGAGCTGTTGTTTTCTCAGCCTATCTGCCCTGAAAGGTTTCCAGCTGTACAGCACTGGCTCCTGCTCCTCTGAGTCCCAGTGCTTCGCAGTCACAGCCAGGCAGAGTCTCCCCAACCTGCCCTGCAAGCAGCTTTTCTGATTTGCCTGCTCTGCCTCGTCTCCACGAGTTCTTCCCAACACACAAAGTTGCTGGAGCTGAGCAAAACCATCCTAGGGCACGTGCACCTTCCTGCACTGCCTCTGCCACCTCTGCTGGCCCTCCAGTAAGGCCTGAGGGTCACTTCAGAAAGCAGCAGCAGCAGCTACACTGAGAGGAGGTACTTTGGACACGACTTTCTCCTCTCTTGCCAAGTACATAAAGCTCATTCCAGCTCCCTCTGCCCCATCCCTGCAGCAACCCCCCCACCCCGTGAGCTGAAAGGTGCCATCCTGGGGGATGCCACCCGCCCCTGCCCACCGAAACCATCCAGCACAGCGTAACCAACCAAGCAAAATGAAAGCACATGACCACCTACCAACACACCTTGGCAGAGGGGAACTCCACACACGCCGTCTCCCCCCGAGGCAGGTGATGCGGGACGCGCCCTCCAGCCGGTACCCGGGGAAGCAGGAGAAGGTGAGGACATCCCCCACCCCAAACTGCAGGCCCTTCCTGATGCTGTAGGCTGGGACCTCTGGCTCGTCACACGGCTCCAAATCATACTCTGCAGGGGACAAAGGGACATTTACAGGGTGGTAGGGTGACGCTTGGTACTCCCCAGTGGCACGAGGATGAGGAGGGAGCTCTAAGTTCCCTCCAGCTGCCATGAAACTCATCATCCATCTGTCCTGTTTGAGCCCTGAAGACCAGCCTGGGTTTCACTTTCCATACACAACCCCTCAGAGCGTCACCAGGATATTGATTTAAGCCAACTCAAAATACAGCAGTTTTCATTATTTGTCACTGTTGTCAGGCAAATAGGAAAGTGACATCAGCAGTGACACAAGGGGATGGAAATTTGCCATCCTCTCCCTGCTCGAGTCAAATGAAGATGAATTGATCCGGATGGGATTTCTGCTGCCTCTACATTACTAATCTGGAAAATGAATGAACACAGCATCTTGCTTGGGGACTGCAAGAGAACATTTAAGCTGCTGCTAAATCAAAGGTCATGTAGCATTATGGCTAATAGCCAAATGCATGTCTCTGACCACAAAACATTTTGAAGGGAACCTCTTTTGAAGGTTGGTTTTTTTTTTGGAAAAACAACAGACCTGAAAAGCACAAAGTATGTGCACATGTACCTAAAGGAAGCTAAAAATATAACTGACTCCCATTTCCATTTTCTAAGATAGGAAAGAAGTCTCCAAATACACTGAAAATAATAGTTATAATTAGAGGCAATCTTTCAAGAGAAAAAGCCAATTTCCCCCATCAAAATTGCTCTGCAGAGGCAAATGTGCCTTTCTTGGAGCCTCTCTCCAAAAGCACCACGCACACTCTACTTCTCATCGATGACTTCTGAAAACACAGGACCTTGTCTGAAGAAGCCAGAATTTTGTCTAATCACACACAAAGCCAGCAGCAGAAGTGGTTTGGTTCAGCAAGCACAGGACTGGACTGGCTTAATGGAGATGCCCAGGGCAGAAGCTGTCTCACAGAGCCAGATCTTCACCAGCACTGTGAGGCAAGAAGGGTTGAAGTCAGCAAAATCCTGCATCCCTTGGCACCCCACTACGTGCTCCAGGTCTGCTTCCACCTGCTATTGCAGCAGGTCAGTTAGAGCTGGTCCAGCAAGAGAACTGCTTCCAGCTCCCCAGCAATGCCCGTGGGCTGATGGAAACCTGGCACAGGCTACACGGGGCACGTGCTGCTTCTAGGAGAGGCTGAAGGCAGCTGCAGAGCCTGGGTCACTGGATGAGCATCCAAGTGGAGCAATGAAAAAAGAGAGAGCAGACGGACAATGGGAGTGACCAGCTCTGCCTTGCTTCTTTTCCAAGAAGACCAGATTGCTCAATGTTGCCTTCCAAAAGATCCCATCTGTCCCAGCTTCCCATGTTGGAAACGCTCTAACTACTGCCATGATTTTCCTCTGATAAGCACAGAAGGAAGACACCTGGAGGAGAGAGGGGTAGTACAGCCCAAGAAAACGTGAGCTGAAACTCTGCCCACAAACAGAGCAAAAAAGATCATCGGGGGAGAAAGGGGAAAGCAAGAAACACGTCTGTAGTGATTTAATTCCAGCAGGTTCAATCCTGTCATCATTCAATCCTGGGGCTCCAAGGCAGAGGAAACTGCTACACCTGGCAAAATGGGGACTGGAAGGAGACTATTTCTTGGGACATACTGAGGTTTGATGCTACAACAAGTTACTGGGACAACAAGAGGAGTGACCATCAGTGACCCAACCCACACACAACTGTGCCAATAGAAAATTATTCCCAGGATTTGCAGAGAAGCAGAAAGGGAAAGGGCGAAGCCTTTGCCCACCCCTGCTCTTACCTGAGAAGGTGATGTTGAAGCCCTCATAGGACATGGAGAAGTCGGAGATGAAGCGAATCTGGGCTGAGAAGTTCCCGAAGAGCCCCGCGCTGAGCGGCGCCGGCAGCCGTGACCCCGTCAGCTGCTGCAGGGGCTGGGAGAAGCTGCTGTTCTCTGTGATGAGCAGGTAGTCGTGCCCGTTCTCCAGGTGAAAGGTATGAAAGGTGAAGAACACACCTGCAGGGGAGGAAAATCCGAGATGGCTTCAGCCAGCAGTGCTCGTGTGGCACCCCGCTGTCCCAGAGCCAAAGCCCCTCTCCTCTCCCCGGGGTGACTCCTCGTTTCCCAGTGGCAGCAGCCCAACCCAGAAGAAAAGCACCCTGAGAACCACAGACACGTTTGTGTCTGAGATGAAACAGATGAAAACAAGTAAAGCAAGGGTATGGTACAGAGACTAGGCAGTTAAAATCTTCGACTCTTTGTGCCTTTGGGGCACAGGAACAGAGATGCCACCAGCTCACTCGAGGGATGGAGCAGCAGCAGGAAGGACCCAGCCTGGCAGCTTCAGGGAGCACTGGATTTTAGAAGTGTTGACCTTTAGATAAATAGCAAGAGTAGCAAAAGCTGTACCTGGGAGGACTTGAAAACAACAAACCCAAGTCTGTTCCAGAAGGAATTCGTACCTAGAAAAATAGGACTTCAGCCAAGTCTGAAGGTCAGAGAGGATTTTCCAAAGGATGAAGTACGTCAGCAGTGTGACTGCAGGGACCTCCTGCACCTCCCCTGCTGGGACTGATCACTGGTCCCCGAGGCTAGAGGACAGCAGGAGCCAGCAGCAGGGACAGGGCTGTGCCTCCTCAGCCACACACAGCTCAGAAGCCATCCACATCCATCTCCCAGGCCAGGGCTGTGTCCTGCGGCCACGCTCCCTCCCAGCAGCACCATGCACAGCCCCAGCACCCTGCTCCAGGGCCCAGCTCAGCCCTGTCCTGCTGGCAGGAGGCTGCTGCTGTCTCTTCTCAGCTTTGGACCCACTCCCAGGACCTGCCATGCCCTTGAGCTCCCCTCCCAGGACCTGCTGTCCCCTCCAAGGCCGGTGGTGGAAGTGCCTGTGGGGCCACTGCAGATCTGGGCAAGGCAGGCAGAGTCAGCCCTTCACCCAACAGCTCTAACAGATCTTAGAAGCAAAGAGAATCCTACACTTTCATCCACATCACACTGACAAGAATCCACAGCCACAACCGATCCAGCTACAGAAATAAGAGACGAACACAGAAAAACTATTTTCTCTCTTCTTCCAAATTCAATTTCAACAATTTGAAACATTTCCTCGAGAAGGTTGTGACCTTGCTGCATTTGTAAATGAACAGGAAAGGAGTAATGGATTATTAAAGTCTCCTTCACACCTACAGACACAAAATAGTAAGTACTTCAGGCCTCTGCAAAAGCCTCCAGCTAGGTGATTTTTCATGCTGGGATCCAAACACAAGTAGGAACACTAATTCTCTGGAAAATAATTCCATCTTTGAAAAACAAAAAATGGCAGTGACAGCTTCCAGAGAGCAAAGCAAGGCAGGATCTTGTCTCAGAAACCCTGTCCCATCAGCACCACATGAAGCTAACAAGCTAAAGCAATGCCTACAATAAAAAAGCCTCTTTGCATTTACATGGCTCCTTCCATCTGAAGACCTTAGTGTGCTTTCTGAGCACCACGGGGCAGGGTCCTGAGCACCACGGGGCAGGGTCCTGAGCACCTGCTCACACCCAATTGGGCCTTAAACTCCTCATGGCCTTGCTGAACTCGACAGGGCTGTTTGCAGAGACAGACCCCACACACAGACAGCAGTGCTGGGTCTGGTCTGCATCAGTCACAGTGAGACCCCCCCTCCTCACACGCATCAGGAGTGCCCCGTGGCACCACCAAGTTATCTCACCTAGGCCAGTGATGGACACCACAGAGGCTGCCAGGCTGGGGAGACCCAGGGGCTGTCATGTTCTGCATCCCAGCCCTGCCAAAGGGCAGCAGCAGCTGCTTCAAAAGCCAGCACAGGAAATCCGTAAATAAGGATCAGAGGAATAATCTCCTCCTTGCTCCCCATTAACTTCTGGAGCTCAGGATGAGACCAACCTAGAGATTGATTAAAGCTCTGGAGCATGAGATTTAATATCCATCCCAACAGGCTTTTGTCAGCATTGAATTCTAACTCTGGATATTCCATTTACCCCTATGTCTATCCAATTTCTTTTTGAAGGTTACTGGTCACATGCAAGCAGTTTCCTTCCAAGAAATGAAGGTCAGAGAGGCTGGTAACCAGTCCAAAGCCTCTCCCATGGAAATCCCCAGACTGGGAAGAAGCAGGGCTCATGGGGTTGTCTCAACTGCCCTGTTCTCTCCCCATCTTTATCCTTGCACAGCAGTTCACTGCACCTTGGGAACCTTCAGTGTCCCAGGCAGAAGCATTTGTGCAACCCACTGCTTAGTCATGACCCAAACAGGTCTTGACTTCAACAATTCCCTCCTAAATATGTAAACATTACATGGAGCCTGGCAGAAAATGTTCAGTTCCACTCTTCCCCCAGCAAAAGTCCATGAAGGTAGAAAATGTCTAATTGTTTCCAAATGTTTATTACTCTTACCAGCAGCACAGCCAATTGAAAACAGAGATGGCCTGTTTTAGCCTGGACACTTGGTGACATGAAGGGAATATAAAATGTCTTAAGTCTTCCATGTTTCTCAACTGACACGAAATTTATACCCTCAGTTTTACAGATCCCAATCTAAGGAACAGAAATAACATCACCCCACTGAAATCAGCACACCACCAGAGAGACACCAGCATGATTTAGTCCCCAGAACTGGGTGGACAGCCCCTGACTCTGGGTCTGTTAAGATAACAACTCCAATCACAGGGCACAAGCCCTCTCCAGCAGCAGAGCCAGTTAAGGGCTGTGTAACTGTAGCCATAAGAGCTAATTATAAACTCACTTTAAAGGATTTGTGACTCTGATGAAACCTTTGCTCTGGTCTGAAATTTACTGTGGCACAAAATGTCTCTGCAAACACAGGGTGGTTTTTTTTTTTTTCCTATTCTCTGTAAAAGAAATAACAAAACTAATTATAGGGAAAAGAAATCACTTTGAAGTTCTCAGATTAAAAATAATAGTCTCTCTTTAAGCGTTTAAATACCTTTAAAATTAAGCAGCTTTTAAACTCAAATTGTACAGCTCCTGAGTCCATAAAGTAAATCAGTGTCTGCAGCCACATAAAAATAACTACTCTAACAACCAACTTGTTTCAATTAGGGGACTCGTGTGCTGGCCACGTGTGAGATGCTCATAAAGATCTGGGAGTGAATAACTTGAGAGTGGCTTTTATGATGCAGATCATCACTGCTCAGCCACTGCCCTGGCAGGGAGCAGCCCGGTGGGCTGGGAGGCACAAGCCCTGAGCTCTATTTTATGAGAACTGAAAGACTTCCCAGGCCAGGGACAGCAGCAGTGCTGGGACACCAGGCAGAGAGGCACTGGCAGAAGTGGGTGTTGGAAATGTAAAACTACAACAAGGGGAAAAAAGAAAGGTACAATGGGAAACACTTAAATCATGTAAACACATCCCCTGCTCACAGCAGAGTTGTGAAAGCTTCTGGGTTTAGCAAGCACCAAACTCACCCAATGCTCACTGGTGCACCCAGTGGTCCCCAGGAACAGGGGGCTGCCAGGCAAGGACAAAGCACAGAGAGAAGTTAACTGAACAGGGTTCAGTTACACCTATTTTTAAAGCCTGTTCTGTTCTCCAAGGACTAAATTAATTCCATTTCAGTGGCTACAGCTCTGACTCAGGATCACTCTGTTCCACTGCTGTTGAAGAATGAGAAGAAACGTTGCAGGAATACGGGGAGAAGCTCGTGGCAGCACATTACACAGCAGTTTAACACAGCAGCAGCTGGGGAAGGACATCACTGAGAAAGACAAGGCGAGTGCTGCAATAGAAAGGATGTGCTGGACGTGTAGGAATGTGTAGGACCACTCCCACCAGCAGCCCAGCATCTAAATACACTTCAGCACCTTCCACAAAACATCACAGAAAGGGACATCAGTCTTTGCTCATCTCTTCACTGCACTGGTGAACTACTGGGATGAAGAAGGAGGTTTTCCTGACATGTCTGCTGGCTATGGGCTGGCTTATTATAACTGTACAACGTCCTCTCCTCTTGCCCTAACCTCTTAACTGGATTTGGAGATTTCCTGAATCCAAGCAGCTGCCTGGGTGAAGCTTTGCTAGCCCAGAAAGCTCTGCAAACACAGTAAGGATGACTCTGACCCTGCCTGGGATGGAAGCAGAAAGGTCCCACCACGTGCTGCAGCTCATTTCTACTGAGATCCTGGAACAGCCCTGAAGGAAGGATACCAGCAGTGGGTAAAGAGAGGGATGGAAATACCAAACAAGATAATATGAACTTACTCCTTTCATTAAAGTAAGAGATTCTTCTACACCAACCCACCAAACACTCAGCTTCGCTCGGAATCTTATCCTCACCTTTCCAGCACAACCTGATAGGTAAGAGCTGGAACTCTTGTCAAAGGCCTGGAGACCTATATATTTTTCACTATAACAAGCTGGATTTACACAATAGCTCACTGTTTAATTTTCTAATATTCAATACCTGCAGCTAGGGCTGGAAGCTCCAAAGAAGCTCCTAGGCTTCAGACCACTAAATCCAGGAGCAGCCTTCCAGAGAGCTCAATGTCCAGCTTCTCCCAGTGTGGCAGTCTGGTTCCAGCTGGTCAGAAGCAGGGCTGAATTCTTCGGATGCTCCAGAACCACACCACACTGAGCTGCTCTAAGGGGTGTGCTGTTCCCTGCACTACTGAGTTGGCCACAGTGGGATCTTGTGCAGGACAGAGGAGAAAAAGCCCCTAGACCTCTGCTACTTCAAAAGGCACCGTGGTTTTTTCAGCCTTGCTTAGCTTGGTCAGAAGACTTTCTTCTGAGGCTGGCACACAGGCCATCATGTGAAAGTGTGTCAGATCTGTCAGCATTGTGCTCAGCTCCAGGATAATGCACTGCCTGAATCCAAGGCAGAGTGGATTAATGAAGAGCGGATTGCTGCTACTCCACAGAATACTTTTCACAGCATGTGATGGTTCCTTTAATGCACTGTGCTTTCATTGACAAGTTTATTTGCTGTAATACAAATGGTATTTGCAAAATTGGCTCATGATAGCTCCTGTTGTGCTGGAATCCAGCGACGACGAGCCTCTTATGTAAGAGTGCATCAAGTTACATAAAGGGTTTATACCCTTTGTGCTGACCCCAGGCAGACACTGACTGGAGCAGGAGAAATTACCCACCACCCTTGGACATAAAACCTGCTCTCTAATCCCCAATGATCCATGTCTTTGAAATTTTGCTCCAAGACAAAAGATTGGGCTGTGCTGCACAGGAGACTAAACTAACTAGATCTGCACTTTGCCTCTATGCTGGCAACACTCCTGGCTAGGAGAGAAATGAGAGCTGCAGAACTAGGACAGAGCCCAAGTTCTGTCCCCTGCCTGCAAATGATTGACTCCATGCTTCCAATTCTCCATCTGTAAAATGTTATCTAGGTAGTGATCCTGCACTGCAGAGAATAATAAAGCTGAAAGTTCTGTTGAGTACCAAACATGACTGCAGTGGTCTCAGTGGCAGCTCCCCTTTCCTCCACGTGGCACTAGGAGTAACACCAGCATCCAAACAGCAGCTCACACTCCAGAGGGTACTGCCACAAAGGTCTGGAACTGCTGCTGGTGCCTGACACAGGCTCTTCGATCCAGGGAGTTGATACAGGACAATCTTTCCTTCTTAATCCTCTCCACTTTAAAAGGATTAAGAGTTGTGACACGAAAACCCCTCTGCATCTTGTCCAGAGACATCATCTGAGTGATGGCAAGGATGGCAACTGGCCAAGCATGTGGGTACCCATCATCACCAACAGCACTTGTCTCCTGCTGACCACTGTCCCCTGGTCCACCTGTAAAACCCCTCTAAGGTAAAGGCTTCTCACCTTTTCCATGTGATGTTTCTATGGTCCACGTGCAGTTCAAGTTATTGGGATAAAAATCAGGGAAGCCTGGGGATAAGATGGTACCACTGGAACCACGAATGTAACCTCCACAGAGAGCTAAAAAATAAACCAAACCAAAAGAGAGACAATTAAAAGAATTTAAAACTCATCATCAACTGGAAGAGCACCAATTCTTCTGAAAGTCAAAACAAAGCCCAACCCATGAAAATCAACCAAAGCACACAGCCCAAAGGTCCCTGCAAACTTCACAACCGCTGCTCTGCTTTTGCAGATCTGCAAACGAAGCCTTGGCCACCTTCTGCAGATGTCCCCTCCCAGACTCCTCACCCTCACAGCTGGGCAGGGGCCGGCTCCACTGGAAGTTGGGCTCACACTCCAGGGCCTGGCTGTCGCTCAGGGTGTAGCCTGAATCACAGCTGAAGGTCACCAGGGCTCCCACGTAGAAGTCGTTGCCGTGGCGCTGGCCGTTCACGGGGATGCCCGGGTCCAGGCAGTGGTCTGACTGCAGCTTCACAGCTGTGGCAAACAAACCCACTGGGTCAGAGCCCCCCGTGGCTGCAGGATGCCCACAGCAGCCTGGGGGGAAGTTCAGCTGCTCCTATGAGCTCGCTCAACGTCCTACAGAACATCCCTGAAGTGAGAGGATGAAACAGAGGGACCCAACTCTGCCCTCTGAAATCAATAACATTCTATAGATGTTATGATAAACATATATATAAAAAAATCTAAACCCCCATGCTGGTGGAAAAGCAGCAACTGCTGCTTGCCTTGCAGCAGCTCCCCACTCCCTGAGCCCTGCAGCAGTGTGGACTCCCTGCAAAGGGGAGGAGTGAGCCCAGCAGGCTCCGACGGGTCCCACTGTGCTGCTGGGGAGGAGGGAACCACACCAGCACCCCACTTACTCTCGTATCGGATCTGGAAGCCTACATCAGAGTGGCTTTTGTCAGTGGTGAAGAGGAGGTAGAGGTAGTTGCTGGTGCTGATGAGGAACTGGGGCACCTGAGTCCCATCATAGACACCTATCAGTGGGGAGGAGTAGGAGCGGCCGTCTCGCACCTCCAGCGTGTCGTAGTTCACCTCTGTCTTAAATCTGAAGGGACACAAGAATGTGCTTGTGAAAAACCTGCCTGGTTCATTTTTGGTTTTTCTTGCAGTCCAGAATGTGCTGTAATGACTAGAGGCAGCAGGGGCAACACTTGGGTCTGTTTCTACCACCCGAGTATCTTACTAGAACATGTCATTCCCCTCCTACAGAGTGTGATGTCTCCCTGCCCCTTCATCTGCTGCCACCATCACCTCTCAGACACACAGACCCAGGTTCAAGAGAGCTCAGCCCTCCTCCAGCAGTGAGATCCGGGGCAAAGCAAGAGACTCAGCACGCCTGGGTTGGGGCAGGTCCTCACTGCTGCTTCTCCCCGGCACAGGGGAGCTCAGCCTCCCCAAACATGTCCTATGTGTGTCTAAAACAGCACTGCAAATGAGCAGGAGTTACTCAAAACAAGGGAAAAATCACCGTTTTCCACTTCTTCTTCTTGAACATTGGATGAATTTTAATGTCTTGTCAGGAGTGAAAAAAATACATCAAGGACCTCCCTGCCAAGCACAACGCTGAGCAGCTCCTCCTTTCCCCCAGGGGCAGCTGCAACTGGAACCACCCAAAACAACCCCAAAAAAAGGGAACTTTTGGGAAGGGGAGGTGAGCACCTGTCGAACGTGATCTTGATGGGGTAGCCTGGCTGGGCCTCTATGACCCAGGCGCAGCTCAGGGAGTCCTTGTAGAAGCCAGGCCAGCCAGGGGACAGGATGGTTCCGCTGGGCGATGTCAGGTGGCCCCCACAGGGTGCTGGGACAGGGAAAATGGCACAATTCAGGTGAAGAACATCACAGAAGCTGTGGCACCATTGGAGGTACCCCACCCTGCCAGGCAGCACCATCCCACTGCCCACCAGCTTTCGTGCAGCATTGCCTCTCACAGGTTAGAAATCCCCAGATGAAGCTGCACCACTAGCTGGTACCAAACCCCCATTCCAGCTTCCAGTGAAGCTGCAGCAGCTGCTGCTCTATCTGTGGCAGGCAGCAGCCTGACCTCGTGCAGTGGCTCTAAGGGGACAGGGTATAATAATAATAATTATTAGGTATAAAACCAGAGAAAACAGCAAGGTCAGTTTGCATCTCAGGAGCTGCAGGTGCCAGGAAATCTTTTGTATCTGTGGTAATCCAGTCACATCTTTTCTACCATGGGGGACATCACACAACTATGGCATTTATTCCACACCGCGGTCCCAAGTGCCACCAGCAGAAGCTGAAGGCATATTATTTTCTTTTCTGGAAAAAGGACACTGGATCTCATGGACCAGAGGTATGAAAATTCTACAGCCCCAAATAACTGCAACGTATTGACCCCTGAAAAAAACACTCCAACAAAAAAATCAAACGGGATGGAAAAGTGTCTGGTCCTGTGAGTCCATGGTCCCCCCCTCAGCACCTTGCAGGACTCATCACCCTGCTGTTTCCCCATGTTCTGCTGAGCTGGGTCCCTGGTGCTGGTCACACACGTCCCACATGGCAGCGGGGCCACGCTGCTGTCCCAGCCTCTGGCAGCCCCTCACCCACAGCCCTGCCTAGGTCACCAAGGGGACCCTGCTCCTCCAGAGCAGCTGCTGAGGCACCAACCCAGGGCCAGCCCTGGTGTGAGCTGTCAGCAAGGGCTACGAGATGTCACACTTGACATGACCCTAAATACCTGTGTGAGTCCGGGCCTGAAACCTTCACTGCTGATCTGAAGGAAGCCAGATGAAAGTCAGTTGATCTCAACTGGCTCCAGGCCAATTATTTTTGAACAAGAGGCTCCCTTCTGCCCCAAAGCTACACAATTTCCTCTCAGGACTTCATCTTTCAACTCCTTTTTTAGGTCTCTCTCTTTCCCATTAATTTTTTCAAGCACTGAACAGTACTTTAGATCTATATACTTCCTCCTTGTTTAAAAAGGCTAATTAAAATGTACACTTAACCAAGCACATATTGAAGGGTGAGTCAAAGAAGCCACCACTGTGATCACAGAGGAAAAAGCACAAGTTAATGGCATAAGGTTATCAAAGCTTCCGAAGATAGAAGTTGATTAAAAGTGCATTATTTAATGTATGTTCCTCTTCTACACTTATAAATACATAAACTTAAAGGCTCATGCTTGTGACAGTAATGGAAACTCTGAATCCAGCCTAGAGACATTTTATTGTTAGCTGCTTGCAAAAGAAAAGTTATACAAGAGTATAAAAAAGTCCATCTTCTTCTAGGTTAGTGAACACAGTGGATACCTCCTTCTTCCAGTCTGAAAGACCATGGACCAACCCTCACTGACAGGATTTCTCACTATTACACCACTATTTCTCAATAGCATGGTACTTGTTATTCAAACCACTGTAAACACCAGCCCAGGGCTTCACTTCCCTGAGAACAGAGGGTAGAGGAAGAGTCTTCACTTCTAATGAGCTCTTCCCTCACTTCTCTCTTCCCTAGTAGAAGTTTTGAAGGACTAGGAAAAAGCTTTGAAAGCTGTATTAAAGTCTTTAACTCAACCCACCTCCCACCTTTTGGGGCTGGCTACCAAAGCTGTCGTGGCAATGAGATGTCACCACAAAACGACAGGTAAAGAACCTCTCTGCCCAGCAGAACACTGAGCAGTTCTTCCCTTTCCCCTGGGGGCAGCTACAACTGGAACCACTGAAAACAACAGCAAAAAACACAGAACTTTTGGGAAAGCCAGGTGAGAACCTGTCAGTCACTGGTAAATGAAAGCCTTTTATTATTGCTATTAGAAAGGTACCCGTTGTAACAAAAACTAAGCTGATAAAAATAATCCCCATTTCAGAAGAAAAAATCAGAAAACAAAGTGAGCTCAGAGATTCCAGAACTGGCACTTCCTCCTACGCAAACTCTTCTGTGCAGACACCTGCCAGAGCCATGTACAACCCTGGCTGTGACTGGGAAGCTGAGGGTTAGAACTGAAGCCCAGCAGTCCTTCAGCTCTAAACAACAGATGCCCCTGCCTACACGATGGCAAAAGCCCTCCTACAAGGCCAGCACCTTTGCAGGACCTGGACAGGCAGAACTATTATCCCCTTCCCCAAAACCTGCAAATATGATAGGATTGTTCTCCCTCCAGGTTACACAGCCAGACTCACAGGAAGGATGATAAAATTTACCTTCACATCTGAGCACTGCATTGTTCCAGACCACGTTTCCTTCCTTCAGGATGCAGGTGATGGTTTCTGAGCCATGGGTCCTAATGAAGCCCTCATCACACAGGAAGGACACGGAGCTGCCGAGCTGGAGGCTGTCACCGAACCGCTTTCCATTCACAGGCACGCCAGGGTCAGGGCACTCGTTGTGCCTAAATGCTACCAGTGAAAGAGAAGAGAACAGAATAGTCAGTAATAAATGAGTATGTTGGACCACAAACTTAGGAACTGAACAATAGTTTTGTGTCTTTCCTATGGAGATGACAGCACTTGGTCTCACCCCTGGACGATGGACGCTCCAGACTTTAATTTGGCCAACTATCAGCCCAGCAAAGCTACTGTGTTCCACACAGACAAGTCAGCCTGGACAGAAATCATGTCACCACCTCCTCTCTAAACTGCTACGACACTCACGTGTGTGTTGCCACCATTCAGCTTTTTCTCTAGTTGAAGTCACTTTGGTTTTTCTGTTCCCTGCCTGTACTGCACATGTCCATTTGCAACCGGAGAGAGGAAGGATGGGATTAAAACCATCTGCACCCACGAGGTGCTGAGACACAGCAGTGACAGGGGATGGAAAGAGCCTGCAAAGGTATCTTCTTAGCTATCTTCCACATACAAAAATACACAAATACTCAAAGCAGAGAAAGGTTTTTTAAAACTCTTAAAATAGTGCAGTGAATGCATCTGCTTGGAGAGGACACAAACCAACCATTAATGAGAATCAGTTAATGCTTTGGGGCCCTGTTTTTAGAAGCAAGGGTCCTCTCAGCACACTCTGGGATTGTCTCTGTGTAATGCCTGACCTTGCTTGTCACCATTACCAAGATAAAAGGAAGGACACACAGCAATTACCTTTCTAGGTGTTGCAAAGTTGCAAGTGGCATTGGACAGAGACAGCTCTTGTTTAGAGCCTGCCCTCTTCCAGCAGACAAAAACCAGGCCAGCCACCCAATCAGAAAGTAAGCCTAGAGCCTTAATTCCCCATTAAGTGCACAATTATGTACTACATCTTCATATCCTAGGAGGTGGTCTTCAGAGATGAGCAGCATATGAAAGATTAAAGCCTCCAGATTAATTGCACACACAGGCTTTTAGTATCTTTAATGCACCAGACCAAATTCAGAGGAGTTCTGGATTTCTTCCATCCTTCTCTTACAATGCCTTGGTACACACATTGCTGAAGGGGAACAGGCTGAGCCTGATCCTTGTGCTCTGCTCTCTGTCCCCTGCAGCAATAGCTTGTCTCCTCTCACACCTCAGCTGAAGGGAAGGATGGCAAAGGGTCTGAGCAGGATTCAGGAGCTGCCTCTCCGTAGTGCAAGCAGTCAAAACAGATTAACTGAGGTGTAGTTAAGAGTCATTTACAACAATTAAAAACGTGCTTTAAAAAGGTCTCTGCACAGGGGACAGCCACAGCTCCCAGCACAGGAGTGGGATTTACCAGAGACACATCCTGCAGGGCAGCACCAGTGCTTCTGGGTGAGCTGCCTCCTGGCAAACAGGATCTAGGACTCAATCCTGGGCACATGACACCACCACACACAAGCTACTCCATCTGATGAGCCTTCAGCCTGCTGTCATGTGGCAAAGGATTTCTTAAGACCTCTGATTTTTTTTTTTTCCAAACAGAGGATTTGCAATCATAGCTAGGAAGGCCATTAATTTAGCTGTGCCACTAAAGATTATTATAACCAAGTCCTTTATCAGTTCTGCTGAACAGGTTTAATAATGCTCTTTAGAAAATTATAGGACAATATGAGGATAAAATTACCATAGCCTTCATTTGAGATTCGAAGACTGGACTTCCATGAAGTTAAATCTATCTGTGGAAGTTTTAAGGTTTTATATTATGAGACATTGCTGAACATTTCTCTTATATTCAGTCTTGCACACTTTCAGGTGTCAACAAATAATGATAGCATTGACTGATGGACACACCCATAGAGATCTACCTGTTCTTCCTGATCTACATCAAGCTGTTCACAAAGACCTGTCTCACCTCAGAGAGCAGAACAGAGGCACAGAGAGGGAGAGCAGAGAGCCCACCTCACACAGCAAGCTGCAGCTGATGGGAGAACAGAGACCCTGGCTGCCCCATGGACAGATAACCCTGGGCCAAACCAGATTTCACACCACTGGACAATACTTAAACCTCACAGGCAGAAAGAACATCTACAATCAGCTCTAAGCTTGACACCTATCCTCAATCACCCAACTGCAAATCTGAAATAATTTCAGACTTACTCTGGAATCACAACGATTTTAGAGAGATAAAACTCTTGCCTGCTGGTCTCCAACAAGAACTTACAGCTTGAAATGAAAACCAGAAGGAAGAACTGGGCACTTACTGGTGAAGGTTATGTTGAAGCCTCTCTTCTCCATGGAGTGGTCGGTCTGGAACTCCAGCCTGGCTACATGCCCACTGCTGGTCAGAGAGGAGGGGATCTGGTTTCCTGAGAAGGTCCCCAGCACAGGAGATTCAGCAGTTCCACCATCCTTCACAGCTAGGAAATCAAACTGAGGCTCCACATCAAAATCATTGAAAGCCAAGTGAATTCTGCTCTCAGGTTTAGCTATAATTAACCAAACGCAGTGCAAGCTGCTCCCGTATTCTTCAGGGTAATTTGGTGACAGCACAATCCCAGATGGAGTGGTGAAGTTGAAAAAGCAGGAAACTGCAATAAGAAATCACCATCAATCATGCAGCAGGGTGCTCCTCTGCCACGTTTCCCCCTCCCTCTCATCCCCTGAGCTGGGCAATTCCTGCACGTTCCCAATTCTTGGCTTCTCAGACGATTAAGGAAAGGAAGGGCTCAGTGCTCCATTCACTGCGAGCTGTCAGTGATTTATTTGCATGGGGAAGAAGTGACTTCAAAGTAGTCTCCAGTCCTGGTTTTGGTTGATTTGCCATTTTCCAGCCTAGCAGAGCCCTGCCTTACCCCTGTGCAGGATGTGCCATGCACAGGGAGCACGGGTTCCTCCTAATGCAGGAAGAAAATGTCACTCAGCCAGGTGGGGAGCTGGCATTTTGCAGGTGGATGCTCCTGTGCAGCCCCCACTGGGAGCCTACACAAGAATCAAACATGTAACTACAGCTAGTGTAAAAGAAAACTGGCACTGAACGAGTTAGACTCTGTAGCAAAGTCTTCTGCTGTGGCCACAACTCAGCACAAGCCCCAAAACCTGAGGTAAGGAACCCACCTGGCTGTTACCCCACGCAGACCCCTCCAGACTCCTCTGCTGCTATCTACCCCCAAGCTTTTTGGCCTGAAGCACTGTGTAAGCTGCAGATGCAGCTCTCAGTGCAGTGCAGACTTCTCTGACTTTGCTCCATAAAAACCAGTCTGCAATTTTAGTTTACTTCTCTATTTGCTAAATGCTCTTTTCACCCAAGCTCCTCACCGACGTGACTGCACCCAGGCAGTGCTGCTGCACTTACACTCCTGGCAGAGTTTGTCCAGCTCCTTCAGACCATGCCCATCATGTATGAAATACCTGTATGGAACTGTCAGCTCCTTGGAGAAGATTTGGAGTCAATTTGCCTTTGTCCATCTCCCCGGGCAGCTGCTTATACCTGTGCCAAACCAGCACTGAAAAATGAAGGCTGCAATTTGTTTCTGGTAGTCGCTGCACTAGGCAAGAAGCAGCCCAAGAACATTCCCAAGCTTCCCCCAAGTGCCAGGAGCTCGGGACAACCTGGAGCAAGCACTGGCAGGCTGCAACCTGCAGCCTAGGTGTTGGGGATGGTCCCCTTCCCATGGCAAATAAATCACTGACTTCTGCTGGGCCAGCATGTTACTGAGGAGAGGCATTGAACTAGACTGCCAGTCCCACGGAAATAATTAAAACCCATCTTAAAATGAAGTTGAGGGGAAGAGTGCATATGAAAAAAAGTGTTTAGCTCTCAAGGGTTTTCAATATATACTGTATTTCAGCTGACAAAGTCCTTAATTTGAAATAGCAAAGCATCCTTTTTAGTGGTACATACCCCACATTTTGGGTATTTTATGTATGTATGCTTTACTCATCTTTTACCCCACCAGCACCCTTGGTAAAATTCATTATTTGGAACATACATCCCACTAATTCCTGGCAAAAGGACATCGCAGAGAGGATGAGACTGGTTTTAGTTTGGCATTTGTACAATTATTTGGTTCAATGCTCACCCTCCCTCTGTTATTTTCCCTCTGTCTTCCTTCAACAGTTAATGGTTTTGGATCAAATAAGATGGACGTTACCATGACGTTATCAAGGCTGAGAGCTACACAATCTATTTCCTCCTCTCAGCAATAAAGAGAACAGATTACAGAGAAAACAAACTGCAAAATATCCTCAGGATTTTGGCTCTAGATGCTGAAATATCAAGGGATGCTGTCAAATAATTCTGTCAGCATAAGCTCGGTATAATCTGCCTAGGAACAGTTATTGGAAACAAATGCATTCACACATCTTAGCAGCAGAAAGCCCTCCCAGGAGCCAGGTATCTCCTGTAAATGTTTAAATCCAGAGGGGTAAATCAGCATTCATCCAGGACCTCCAGTCCCAGGCAGCCTGCAATAGAGGTACAGTTGCTAGCACAGCTATCACAGCTCAGCGCCGCTGGCTGGGCTCAGGAAATAACAACAAAGAACTTGCTGACAAAAGAAAGAGAAGTGGAGCGAGGGAAGAATATAAAATTAACCTTTCCTAGATAAAACAAAACGACAGCTAAAAAAACCCCAGAAGTCTCCACTGTAGGGAAGTAAATGACCACTCTGAGTTTCCAGAAGGTAGGCTGCAGACAGCCACGCTGCAGGATGAAGGCCACTGTCACATCCACATCCCATGGCCATAGTGGGGCACCAGCTCTCCCTGGTGCAGTGTGGAGCTCAACTTCACCTCCCAGAGAGGCATGTCCAGCCCAGGAAACAACTTTGACAAGATCATGGGGTCTGTGACATGAAGATTTTTCATCTTCCTAAGCAGGAGAGTTTTTTCGTCAGTGTGAGAAGGGGTTTTGGTGTGGGGCTGCACTGGGAGCCACGTCAGCCTCTCCTTTCCTGAGCGTGCTTTGCTGGACACTCAGAAAAAAGCAGAAGTTGTTTGACCATGTCACATCCAGTGAAACGTGCTGCCAGAACAAAGATGGGAGTACCCAAAAAGCTGGAAGCAGCTGAGTGCTGCCTGTCCCATGCTGTTTGTGTGCCCCAGACAGTGGGGAACAAAGTGCTCCCAAGGAGCAAGCAGTCACCACAGACAGAGGTCCGTTAGTTAGGGATGCCCCCTGAGCCTTGCCTTGAGCCAAGAGACTGAAATTAATATTTATTAGCACTGTTCTTAAATGCTATGAGAGGCCATTTCACTATGTGCATAGCGTAGGTTCAAATTTATAAGTCTCTGCTGACCTTTGTCAATAATTACTACTGATCAAGCACTGCAAAAGCAATAAGAAAAATCCCTTTATTAAATACAGCAGAACAGATAACAGCAAAACTCAGCAGACACAGAGCACCTGCCAAAGCCAGGGAGACCCACGTCATTAGTGAACGAGTACAAGGCATTTAATTCAAGTCATCACAAACCTTATCAAGATTCTGCTTTAATTTAGAGCAGTAAAACAGTGAAGAGCTCATTGCTTCTTGTCTTTGGAAGTCAAGCAGGACACGTGGCTGTGGCATGAGGCCACTGCCCCACGGTCCCTGAGCACGATGCCCATGGCTGAGCTGCACACAGAGCCATCCAAGAGTCCTTCACCAGCTTGTGTCTGCACCTGCAGCCAGGAGCAGATTCTGTCTTTGGTCAGTGCAAGCACAACTTGCTTCTCTTTTTCCTCTGCTCCAGCAGATCCTGCCCCCTCACAGACCAGCTTGCTTCTCCTGTGAGCTGTGCCTGGTGGCCCCAGACTCCCCATCTCCACTACTCCTGCACGTGGGCTGATCCCAGGGAGAAGTTTCACCTGCAGTGCATGGGAATGGGAAAGGCACCAGGTTCAGGGGCTGAAAACCCAGCAGGGAATCTCTATAACAATTTCAGTCTCCATGGAAACCAAAAAAAATATCCTGATTTCTCTCTCAGCTTTTAGGTATCATTCTCACTGACTCTGACCACTTGGGAGAGAGCTTGAAGACTGTAATGGATTTTCTGCCTTACCTTTCCTTTTTAAGAAGATTCCCTCTAGGCATAGCTTGCTGATGGACTGGGAAAGCAAGAGCTCCTCAGGAGCCCAGTTAACACCCAGTGTGCCTCACTGGGGGAAGTCCACATCCCCAGTAGCCAGCAGTGCTGGAGGCTCAGGGCACTGCTCAGGTTGTGGAATAAAATGTTTTATGTTCTGCATTTTCCTCTCTCTGTAGCTGCTGTTTCAATAAACACATCTGCATCATGGTGCATTTTCCTTCTAAAAACCCCAAGGAGCTAACAGGGCAAACGTTAAGTGGGAGAACTTTTTGTATTTCAGAGCAACCAGCTCCTCAGCTTACTCTGACTGAGTAGCTGTCACTGCAGCGTGCTGCTCACTGGGGGCAGGAAAACAGGGGTGTTAAGAGTGACAAAAACAGGCAGGGTTTGGGTACCAGACCTTGAGGAAAATATCATCTGTGAATTTAAAACAGACCGTACAGGAGCCTCTCTGCACACAGAAGAGCACCACAAAACCAGAGCAGGTTTCACTTCCACCCACTCGAACCAGGGACAGTGGTTGGGATACTGGGAGCAAGGTAAGTCTCTGAAACTTCCTGGAAGATGCTGATCCACACCAGGACAGTGTTGGGCTGCTCGTCTGCCAGGGTTTCTGCAGCTTCTGTTCTCAGGAGGTGCTCCAAGGCTTCTGCACAGCCAAGATCCCTTCCTGGGGTCCCTGTATTTTAGGGAACTCTCCCCATCCCTGCAGTCTCTCCTGGGAATCACTGGTGGTGTCCACATGAAGACAGAAGTTTAATTGTCACTTTTTGTGTTGGAAGCCCCAGAGCAGTCTTGTGGCCTCGTTATGTACCCTTCCTGTTTTGCTGCTCTGTGGTTTAGCAGAAGATCTTCCTAGAGGATCCTCTCCCAGCTGCAGCACTCGGAGCCTTCTGCCAACAGCTGCCACACGCTGGGCTCCTGCTTGGAGCTGACCCTCCTCACAGTCCCACGGTCTCTGCACATGGAGAGTGTGAAGGGCGACTGCTGTAAACACCAGGAAGGGCAAAGCACCCCCAAAATGTGGAGCTGAACTGGGGTGACAGCAGCCACACACCAGTGACAAAGTGCAGCAGAGGGTGGCTGGGCAGGCTCAGCCACATGTGAAGTTCTGCTCATTGGAGCAAGAGAAAGAGCTTTAAAGATAAACTTGGAGGCATCGACTCCACCTGCAAATTGGGAATGTCCCAGTGCAGCTTTCTCAGACACCATCCCACACACAGAGCACTGAAGTACAACAAGGCAGGTGTAAGGGAGTTCTCAGCAGAGCAGACTGAAGATGGCAATTAGACACATGGCATATTCCCATTTTCTGGGTACAGAGCTAGGGGAAGGGGACAGAGAGAACCTCCTTGCCTGGTAAAAGCACTAAGTGTCATTTCAGAGTCAGATTCATGTAAAGAGAAGCAACCCACCATGCTGAGCAACTGCTGTCAGGAATACGGACAGATGCCTTGGCACAGGACAGCTCACTGATAGCAGCATGAAACCCTATCAGGGTAACAGTTCAACTGATTCA